CGTTCTTTATTGATGATCATTGTATCAGGTATCAAAATGTATCGTTGTTCTTAACAGCATCTTATTATCTCCTAGTACCACATTAAATAGTTAATTAATCATAGCACAATCAGAGAATTTTGCTTCTTCCTAACAAATCCGAGACGAAATCAGTAATTTATCATTACTTTACAAAGACTTTTTTCACTCTTAGTGTATATATATATATATATACCATAATCATTATCCCTCTTCTTTTCCTTTTTTTTTTTTTTTAATGTAACTCAGTGTCCCTCTTTCTTGCGAACTTCTTCAACAATCTCAAACACTACATAGGACTTATTTTTCAAAACACACACAATATAATCGAATACTTTATTCACATATAAAACTGGAGAAAACGAATATGTGACTGAAGAGTTTAATGGAATAGAGGCTATTTGGGGGAATACTGATTCTATATTCAATTGTGTTGTTTCCTGTACAAGCATATACCAATTATGCACATTTACAGGAGCTAATTTAGATGCTGTAACTAAGTATACAGTTAAGGATGTTAAGTGAAAAAATCCCATATCAAGTATAAAAATAAGAAGCTTGTGGGTTAAATATAAAGAGGGTTATTCCACCTATTGTCAATTGGTTTTAGGTTGAATGCAAACCTTGTGTTGAGTTCACATACACAGTTTTCAATTGTTAACTCAGTTAACAGGACCCGAAATTGATACTGGACCTGCATTTAAAGGAGTCTGTTAACCATGTTACAGGAGCCTACATAGCAAGCCTACATGTGAGGGGCATGTTAAGTGAGAAAATCCCATATCTTAAATACAAAGAGGGCTACTCCATCTATTGTCAATTGATTTTAAGTTGAATGCACAGTTTTCAATAAAGGAAACTATAGATTGCTTTACTAATAGAGCTCCGGTTTCTGTCTCTCTTCAATTTCTGCTGTGTGATTGATTTCTTGCTTGTTTTCATTATCTCTTGTCTCACGCCTTATTCTGTGCTTGTGCCTTCATAATTTCAGATAAAATATATTAAACATCACCTCCCTCTAAGAAGCTTCTTCACGAACCTAAAAATGCTGGTGACAGCAGTCTTGAGGTATGCGATATACAAACCGAACTGCACAATCGCATAGACGCTGACCGGGAGGAATGCTGCAGCGTAGGTCAGAGTCGTAGTCCATGCCTTCTTCAAATGCACGGTGAGGATAATGGCGGCTGTGAAGGAAAGCACGGTGTTTGCAATGGCAAAGGACAGAAAGAGGAAACCAAACGACAGTTTCCAGGGTATGGTACAACGAAAATCTTCCAGCTCAAGCGACGATGTGAGCACAGAAAGGAAGAGCACCACCGATGTCAATGAGCTTGCCAGTCCACTCACGTCCATCACAGTGAAAAAAGAGTATAGAGGCCGCTCCTCAAAGACTGGACGCCCGTTCTCTTCAAAACATATCAAAGAAAAAAAAAAATTTTGCTATGGCGGCTTGTAAATGACAGAAATTTTTTTTTTCTTTGTGAGGGGAAGAAAAAAGGAAGTTAATTACCCGTGAAGCCACCTGGGGCAGTGAAGGCTGCAGCGAAGACAACCGTGGCAACTAGGACTGCCACAGCGGAGCATGACTGGCAAGTGTTCTTGATCCATTCTTGGGCCTCTTTGAGTTGTTCTTTGTGCTGGTCTTTTAACAGTTCCTCTGCCGTATAATTGTCCTTGTTGAGGTGGATTGTGTAATGAGCAGGGACCCTTTTTTTCACCTTCTGTGAAATCACAACAAGAATTCACAATTCTTGAAGAAATATGTACTTCAATTGTTAAAAGCTTGTATGGTTTGAAAGAATTAGAGCAATACTATTTCAACCATTCATCATATTTTTTTAAGTGGTTGAAATAGTCTTTCCTTCCTTCCCCTCTCATCTCCTCCACTTTTCTTTACTTCTCTTAAACCAAACAGACCCTAAATGTTTGTTAACGAATTTAGAGAAACAATTGATAAGGCTTACTTCGAACCATCTCAGCTCCTCTTGCAGTTTCAGAGCGGCCGTCGATGTGGTTCCTCCGCGGTAGTGTTTAGTACAGGCGGCTTTGTGCAGAATGGTGTCACCGTCATTGTCGATCCCCAAAAGCAGCCTCCGCTTCACCACTTCCCCCTTCGACTTGATGCAATGAAAGATGTGGTTACGGTGTAGAATGACAACGTGCAGAATATTCTGTCCACTCCTGGTAACATGCTCCAGTGCTTGAGGATACACGTTGATAATCTCCTCCACAATCTCCTTGATCCCTGTCCTGCCAGCAATAATCAATGGAGTATCCGGTGCTGCCTCAATGGTGGCGGCGGTGCCATCACATTCGACTTGGGATGACGCCTCCCCTGTTTTTTCACCTCCCTTTTTACAGTCTCCTGAAAAGCAAAGAATGTTGTTGTGCCCTTCTTCGTTGTAGTGCTCACGCCACGAGCAAGAATCCATCCTTACCAGCTTCTTGGCCAATTCAACTGCAGTCTGATGCTTCTTTTTCAATTCCCCTATTTCCTCAATCCAATCCCATCCTGAAAAGAAATAAATTTTAATTAGAAATTTATAGTAAATTATTTTAGCTAATCAAATTATTTTTGTTAATACAATGATTGGTTGAAATAAAGTGACCTCCTGTCTCCCTTCTTTTTCCACATTTAGGATATGTTCGGACAAAAATTAATAAAGGAAAGTGAAAGAAAGGGTGAAGGGAACAGAGGGGAAGGGAAGGAGAGATGGGAATTTGTATTAATTTTGTTTGGATAAATTAAAAAAAAGAGAGGGAGGAAAGAATTATATATTTTTTATTTAATTAAATAAATTACAGAAAAATAATTACAAAATTAATTTAAATTTTATAAATTTATTTATTAAATTTAAATTTAAAATAAAAATTTTAATTACATTTTTGAAAAAAATGATACAAAAAATAAAAGTAAATCAAATCTCTCTAAATTTCCCCAAATTCAAGGGATTAAAAATAAGAGATTTGGAGGGAGACCGTCGCCCCTCCATCTATTTCTCTCTTCGTCCCCCTTATTAAAAGACTTTATCCAAATAAGAAAAAAGAGATCTCTTTTTCATGTAGAGTTATTATCACACCATAAATTGTTAATGTTATATCCTTATAATATAATCATCTATTATATCTTTATATTACACTTTATATAAAAAATTTACACTTTTTTATTTCTTAATAAATTAAAAAATATAATAATTAATTAAAATAAAAAAAAATAATATTAATAATTGAGGATGTAGTAATAACAATACCCCTCTCCTTCACTCTCCTCCCCTTTCCCATCAACTCTCCCAATTCAAATGGAGGCTTAAAAAAGATAAGGAAATTATTAGGGTGCGTACTTCCAGCTAGAAACATCCAAAGATCATCGTACATGCGTAGACCTGCATTAAAGAAAATTTTGCAATTTCAATTATAGTTGCAACTCACTTTACAAGAAGCATAAATGCTCGAAATTAATACACACATATATTCTTTATCATTGTTAGACAGCACATCCTAGTCTCAGTGCTCTGACTTGGTACATCCTGATCAGTTTCACCTCTATAGACTAAGTTGCCTGGCATACCTGAAAACAAAAACGCCAAATTGAGTCAGTGGTACTAGAATTAATGTGTTTTTTCGCCCGTATGATTGTAGTTTGCAATGAACTTACATTTATATATAATCTCCAATCCATACATTATGGAAGAAGAACTTTTGAAAGCAGTTGGCATGCTTGCGAGAATGTGAAGACATGTCTTCTCAGAATATTTCTTCGTCGCCAGCTCTGGATCTTTGTTTAGTAACCAAATAGCTGTCTCTGCATTTAATAGACAATTCTCATGCATTTCTCAAAGGAAAAAGAAAGAATGTGTTTTGTAATTGACATTGCCTAAACTACCAAATTACAGTCCCTTGCTCAGTGGGGTCCCTTGGGTTTCAGGACACAGACCCAGCTGACTGTAGTTTGGATTGCAAATCACCAATCTCTTTCCTAAGTCAGTGATTTAATCTAAAATTAAATCAAATGAGAAGTACCCACGGAATTTTTCATTCATGATAGCAATATGAAGAATGGAGAGGCTATCAGACGTTCTTGTGAAGTGATCCTCTTGCAAATTTCCCTGATCTTGTAAGTCCACCTCATTTGCCAAGTACTCCACTGTTGCTTTATTGCCAAATGCTGCAGCCCTGTATAGCGCCGTCTCCCCTAAATTATTGCGGTCCATCAGCATCCTCGCTCGTCCTTCATGCGCAATCTCAGCCAAGAATTTTGCTGCCTCAACATTGTTGCTCGTGGCCACCTCGTGGAGAAGGGTGTTGCCATGATTGTTCTTCATCCTGACCACTTCACATTTTCTAGGCATTGCAACCATATCGAAGAGAACTCGAAGCAAATCTATGCTACCCATGTATGCTGCAATGTGGAAAACAGTATCTCCGCAAGGAGTGAGGGGATAGAATAAAGCAGAACGTTTGGTCTGATACAGTGTTTTAATGTTTTCCCAATCATTTCCCAAGGCCTTTACGTAAGGCTCCCTGATTTCCTCAACACGTTCTTCATCTATAACCAAAGCTACTTCTGTTGTCATCTCTCCTTTATTTTTTTCTTTTTTTTTGTCACACTGCTAAATTGATAAATAATTTTTTCTTAAGCGGCTATAATTTGATGTCCATGATTCCTGGTTTTATAGTCTGCAACAGCTTTAAAGAGTAGTGAAAAATAATAGCATCCCTACTTTGCTGAACTAATTAATAAAGCTAAAAGTTGAAATGTTTAGAGAACAAGAATATGGTAAAGAAAAAGGAAGGAATAACAATGTTACAAGTTATGCTACGTACTTGCAATAGGAAAGAAATACTTCTGTTGTTGAATCTAAATCCAAGCCAATAAGAAAAAGACACATTAGAAACGTCTGAATTTCATGTACAAGAGTTATGCTAAGATGTCATTTGAGATGTGCTAATACCTCAACTAAGTTGCAGAAGTTTTTAAATTATTGTTTTTGAAAACAAGAATATGGTAAAGAAAAAAGAAGGAATAACAAGGTTACAAGTTATGCTAATTGCAAGAGGAAAGGAATACTTCTGTCGTTGAATCTAAATCCAAGCCCATAAGAAAAGGACACATTCAAAATGTCTGATTTTCATGTTCAAGAGTCATGCTAAGATGTCATTTGAAAGGTGCTGATACGGTGATATACCTCAACATAAGTTGCAAAAGTTTTTAAATTATTATTTTTTAATGAGATATCCCTATAATACAATAGAATTTCTCCCCAAACTAAGAACAAAACTTAGTTCAATCAATTCATAGAGTTAATGTTTTGCTATTTCAATTAAAAAAGTCATGTCAAAATGTCATTTGAACTGTGATGATACCTCAATATGAGATACAGAAGTTTCTGATATATCATTTTTTTTTTTAAAAAAAAAGAAGATATCCATGTAATATAATAGAATTTCACTACCTCAAGAACACAAACTAGTTCAATTAACCCATACAAAAATGTTTACATGTTCCTGCATATAACAGAATTCCTGCGTATCTCAGCTATTGGAATGGAGTGACATTCCAAGGGACATGAATATCACGTGTTAAGAATTGCTTGATGTTATTAACAAAGTAATGTGCTGTGGTAGCTTTTGTTTAATTCAAGTTTTCTAAATAAATTCTCCATGAATCACCCCATGGGGAACCAAAATGGCAAGGTATAATACATCCAGCTGGAAGGATGGTCTGAAATGAGAAGTTCCATTCAAGATTAATCAAATGGGATCCAATGTGAATATGCTACAAATAAAATATATCAAACTACCCTGTATTACTTAACAAGTTAATAAAACTCAAACACTATGTTTGACATTTGATGTTACTATTCATTAAATTTTTAAATAATGCTCTCGAATATCAAGAATAGTAGTTTATATTGAATTATTAATTAATTAATTAATTAATATTTTTTAGAATTATGTTTGTCTAATGAGAAATGTGATGAAAATAAAACAAATATGCAAAGCATGCAAACTTGAAATAAATGGGAGATGAAATGAGAATAAAAGAAGTTTACTATTTCCTTTTTTTTTTACCATGTCAAACAGTTCATATAGAATTAACAAATTAGGAGCATTTGGACTAAACTGATTTAATTGTAAATTTTAGCTTCCATTTTTTGTGGTCAAAGCTTTGGATGAACTTTAAGAATCGCTCAGGATTTTTATAGGCAAAATCATGGAAAATTGTGCAGATTCAAGTGTAGCTGCGACACACTTTACAAGCACCATAAATGCTTGAAGTTAATACATTACTTATGTTCCCTCTCATCGGTCAATGGTCTTTCGTAGTCTCGCTGCTCTGACTTGGCAGGTGTTGATTAGTTAAAAAAAGTGTCGATAAGATGTGAATTTTGTTTTTTTATTTAAAAATATAAAATTTTAAATTAAGTTATAAATTTTTATTCTTTAAAATAAGAACACAAAATTTATTTATTTTTATTTAAAAATTTATTAAATAACGATTATGACATGACAAAAAACTATTTTAATCGAAATAGGTAATGTTTATATCGTTAAATAAAAAAACAAAATTCGTATTTTTAAATAAAAAATTAAAAAATTGATATCCATAATTGAACCTTTTCTCCTGATCAATTTCGTCTCTATAGGGTAAGTTGCTTGGAATATTTGGAAACAAAAACATTAAATTAAGTCTATGGTACTTGAATTAATGTGTTTTTTTTCTCATATGATTGTAGTTAATGACCTTACATCCATTTATAGTCTTCTTCAATTGATATGTTCTGCGAAGAACTTTTGAAAGCGGTGGACATGCTAGTGAGAAAGTGAAGATGTCTCTAACATATTTAAGGATTAATTGGTTGGCAAAAAAAGTCATTTGCTACATTAGTATTATTAGTTTTTAAATGATAAAACTTTCAATATTTTCTATTTAAGCATATTAATTTTGTATTTTTTTATTTAAGAATTAATTGAATGGCTAAAAAAACCCTTTGCCACATCAACATTGCCATCTAATTAATCCTTAAATAAAAAAACACAAAGTTGATATTTTAAATCAAAAAATTAAAAGTTTATTGCTTTATTTAAAAATCGATAAAGTTTGCATCCTTAAATAGAAAGAGGACAATGATATATACATCTTGCACAGTTACATACACTACTAGAAAACCCAAAATCACCGACCCCAAATCACCGACGTAAAACTTGTTATCGGTAAATGAGCACTTTACCGACAAGAAACATATTTGTAAATGTAGTAACAGTAAAAATTACAATAATTTATATTATTTAAGTTTCAGATAAAATCTTTATCGGTGATTTAATGATATACACATGTGCTCCTTGTCGGTAAAATTCTGAAAAAGTCAATCCGGTGGCGTGAGGACCGGTAACTCATATACCGACGTGATCCTTGTCGGTAAGTTCACAATTCCAACCTCGCACAGTGAATTGGCTGCTCGCGTCAGTTTTTTCATAAATTCCAACAATATTCTCGTCGGTAATTTGCATTACACACCAACGTCGAGTTTGTCGATGATGATCCTGGTCAACCAGATTCCCGAAGCAATGCAGAGTTGATTAGCTCTACGGGTTTCCAACAGGAACCCGTCGGTAAGCTTTACAAGTTTCCAACGGGAACCTGTCGGTGAGCTTTATGGGTTTCCAACGGGAACCCGTCAGTAAGCTTCCCCCTTACCTACCGAGACCCCCATTTCCCCTTTCATTTTCGTCTACCGAGACCCCCCTTCCCCTTTCATTTTCGTCTGCTAAGACCCCCCATTCCCTTTCATTTTCGTCTACATGCCGAGACCCCCCGTTGAAACTGGTCGGTGAGTTTAGATGGGAATGCAAATTTTTTGTTTTTTTGGATTCCCGCTTTTAGGTTAATTACCTATGTGGGTTTTGTCGGTAAAATTATTTCCGATATACCACACACAGGTCAACGGTGAATTTCAACGGGAATGCAAATTTTTTGTTTTTTTTGGATTCCCGCTTTTAGGTTAATTACCTATGTGGGTTTTTTCGGTAAAATTATTTCCGACATATTACACATTGGTAAAATAGTCTATATATATCCATAACACTCTAACCCGATCATTTCTTCATTCCTTCCTTCTTCTTTTTCTTCTTCTTCTTCTTTTTTCTTCTCCTCCCTTATATGTCCCACCTCTTACTCTTCCATTCAAATACTGCTAGATTTATTGTATGATGTTTATAACTACATTATATTCATATAATTTTAGGGTTATATCTTCTTAATCTCCTTTCTTTTTCTCTTCCATAGTTTTTTTATATTTAATTAAACACTAATTTGTATTATTAATGAATTTATTTGTAATTCTAATTTTTTTTTCATTTTGTTTTCCAATAAACATTGTTGA